CACTGCCTGCAGCTCTGCCCATTGAGTTGTCCTGCCTGTTCTGGTTTCAAAAGAGAGCATTTCTGTATTAGGCTGAACCACAGCTATCATCCACTGTGAGGCCGTGCCACAGCTAGACCCATTGGTATACTAGGTATCAGCTGGAGGTCCCGCTTTCCCCTCTGCCTAGGGGCTAGGTGTCATGACCTGTAGTCCATCATCCTGCAATGCTCCCTGTGCTATGTACATCATGGATCCCCAAACCACTGCCAGTTCAGCTGACAATGGGCTGGCCAAAAAGGAGCCCCACTGCTGCATGCATGTTCCCCCTGCACCTGAGGGTGGGGGCCTGAGCCCCTCCACTCCTGGTATGGGACATTCATGTATGGACTCGGCCCTCTATACAGCGTTTAGTCTGCACATCCACTGTTTGCTGCCCCGTGACCCCCTCACAGGCGTGCAAAGGGGCATGCACTGCTGCCACTGTTTCTGAATCAGGGAATACCAGCTTTCACCCCCTTCCATAACTGTGGCCAGAATCCAACAGGGTGCTTGTGCTTCCCATTTCTGCCATAGGCCCCAGCCAAACCCATCATCGTCTACACTCACAGTTGGGGTGAATGACAGGGTAGGGTCAGCGACCCAGAGGTGTGCTTCCAGATGTGTAAGGCAGTCACAGGTTAGCATAACATAAATACAGTGAAACAGTGACAGAGTTTGGCTTGGTCCAGGTGACCAAGTCCTGGGCCACCCTGCCATGACACAATGCTGGACTGTGCAAATAGCTTTGTGACAACACCTGGAAACTCCATTGCCTCCCAGGTGAAGGCAACTTGATCCTATCTGCATGATAGCAATGGAGAAGACATTAGCTAAACCCAAAACATAATGGTACTGACCCAGGAAGCATGGGCCATAGCAGAGAATTGAAAGGGCTCCATTCAGGCCATATCAACCCTGCTTCCTCAAACGTCAAGAGAGTCTGTCATATTTTCTCGTGGCTGTCAGGGAGTCCATGTTGTTTCATGCATACAGCCCAGTCTGCGTGAGTCAGCAATGCATGGTGTGGATGCCCTTGGGTTATTATTTTTTGTCATTGGTTTCACAAGCAGAATTCACCCTGTGTAGTGTCAAGCTGAAAACCACCATGAGTATGTCCACTCCCAGGATATACCTGCAAGTGGGCAAATATAGATATCACAAGGGAACGGATCCAAGCACCAATACTCAGTGTCACTTGGGCTGTCCAGACAGTGATGAGCTGAACTGTACCTTTCTATGTGCACAGTAAGTCCTGTGAAATCGTCTGAGTTGCCATAAATTAGTGTTGACTCAGCTCCAGCATCTACCAGCATGCTGTACATTCTTTGGGGACCAATAAGTAGTCATTTCCACATGTGGCCTCTGGTTCCCCAGGGTCCCCACTAAATTGGTGCCTCAGCCTGCATCCTGGTCTGGGTATCCTTTTACTTTCGTGCCCATTGGCCAGTGCTGCCACTTGGGGCACAGTTGCTGCCAGAGTCAGCAACTCATACAAGGGCTGCCTGTCTATCTTCTCTACAGCTAAAGCAGCAGCCAGCAGGTCTGTCCTAATTTGGTGCTGGCTGACGTTCAGCAGCCCTACCGTAAGTCCTGAAGGAGTTGGTCCAGCTCGCCCCGGGGGCCCCCTGCTTTTTCCCTTTGCTGGTACAGTCTATACTGGTATAGGGTATGTCAGTCTCAACTTACGTTAGTGTTTTACTTCCACATCCCTGACCCAAGCCAAGACATCCACAGCATCATGGATTGGCTGATCTGTTTCAGGGGCTACAAGGGCTGCCACTATCCTAAATGTGCCAGCTGGTCCACGACCCAGGATCCTGTCCTTCAGGCATGCTGTCATCAGCTCCTCATCAGGGCTACTGTAACGCATAGCAAACATCACTTGGCACAAGCCCATGCCCCTCAGCACAGAGACTAAGTCCAGGTAGCTTGTCTGATTCATGACTTGCTCTGGCAAGTCACCTGTATTCACCCAAACCAGGCAAGCTGCTGCCATTAACCAGTGTCTCAGCTACTTTTCTCTCATTGCTGAGATAAAATACCTGATGTCCAGAATTAAGGACGGAAAGGTTTAGTTAGCTCAGTTTGTGGTTTCAGTCCCTACTCAGCAGGCTCCAAGGCAGGGTGGCATGGCACAGGGGCAACAGTTCAAGGTGGTAGAAGACAGCAAATGCAATAAGGGCAAAATGGGGGTGGGTAAGAGCAAGCCTCTTTTCTTCCCTTATACTGAAGCAGGCTACCACCCGCTAGGGCAGGTGTAGCACTCTCACCATCTCCCTGCCCTTCTCTGGCACAGGATAGGGATGTTTGCAAAGTGAGGATCCTGGCCCCCTGCCCAGTCACTTCATTAAACTCTAAACTTTTCAAGTAGACACGAAGTGTCAGCCATTGCAAGTCTGCTTACCTGCCTGTGGGACTGTTCTCTGCACATCCTGCACAACTCGGTACGTGGAAGGGGTGCTGGCTGTACTACCTACTTGGGGCAGCTCCTGTGGGCTTAACTCCATGCTGTCAGCCCTGGCGTCCCACAGCCACAGCAGCCATGTACGCACTGTCCCGCCCACTTTCTGCTTTGCTTTGCCGGCTCCCACAGCTCCATGGCTGTGCAGGTCGTGGATGTTGCGCACCGGGTAGAAGTGGGCAGACCTCCTGGCCCTCCTCCTTGGGCTAGGGCTTCCTCTACCGCCACCTGCTGGCGAACGGCAGGTCTTGTATGCAAATGCAGGGGACCCTCCTTGGACTCCCCTGAGGTGGGACCTTACAGCTGGTGATGCTGTGGGAGGCGGCTGTACTGTCTGGGGCTCTGAACATGACAAGCACAGAGGTCAGCTCCTGCTCCAGGTCCTCTTCCGTGTTGCACTTGCCGTACTTGCCACATGAAGACTTCTAATTCTTGCCCCATGTGGCAGAACAGGGTAAAGAAAAGCCAAGCCACCCGCCTAGCCGACTCACGGTGAGAGGGAGAGATCCGCATGTCTAGCACTTCCAAGGCTCTCAAAACATCCCCCGGCTCTGGACACACCATGTCCCAGTCCTTGGGATCTTCCAAGCCACCAAAAAGGTTGTCATTGGTTTCACAAGCAGAATTCACCCTGTGTAGTGTCAAGCTGAAAACCACCATGAGTATGTCCACTCCCAGGATATACCTGCAAGTGGGCAAATATAGATATCACAAGGGATAGACCACCAAAGTGAGGCTGGGGGTGTGCATGTTGAAACTCCCTGGGGCTCTTCCTCTCTGGCTGGTACTGTTTCCACAGCTACTGGAGAGGGGACACTCACCTCACCGTTCTGCTGACTATGCCTATTGTCCTGACTGGGGCCTGAAGAGATACTTTGGCAGGGAAGATCCACAAGGGTACACACATAAGGCAGACATGATTTCTAAAGGCAGGCAGCAGCAAGAGAGCAGCCTGTCTTCATCTTCTAACTCTTACACAGGTGGTAATCTCACGTTTACATTCTTCCCTGTTGAGTGAACAAGTGCATGCATGGTTGTCTGCTGCTGAGTCATCCTTGCATAACTGTTCCCTGGTCTGTACCTGTCCTAGACATCTGGCTTGTGTCCTATGCTGCAGGCATATATACGGCTGTTGTACAAACACTAACATGAAAGGATTATTTCCTGAGCAACAGAAACATGATTTGTAAGTGATATTTTATCCCATCCTAGGCTTATGTTCTTAACCTAACTTTTTTCTTCTTTAAACTTAAAATGCAGACATAAACAGAACTGTTTCATACTGCTAAGGAGTCTACCTAAGGTATCCCCCCACCAAATCACAGCTTCAAGGTTATGATCAAGGTTATGATCATCCTGGCAGCCTCTTCTGACGCTGGGACCATTGCGTTTGACTTAGATCTTTACACACTGAGAAGAGGACAAACACTGATGTGTAGTAATTAGGATGAAAATAATTTGGATATTGGGGAATGAAGCGGGGAGTTCCAAATCACAGAATATGTGCAGAACTTCAACCGGTACTTTGAGACAGGACCCAAGTTGAATAGGTTGGCCTGAATTTGGTGTTCCTTTTACTTCTGCATCCTGAGTTGCTGGCATTACAAACTGACATCACCATACCCAGCAAGGTATTTTTCAGGGTAAAATAATGGGAAAGTAGATGTGCTTGGGATAAAACATTTTGTAGTGTCAATATTCCATCACAAGCTGGAATGGGGATACACACTACATATCTTTCTAGTGATGCTAAGAAGCAGAGATTTGCAGCAGGGAAATTGGACACAAGTTGTACAGTGTAAAAGTGATACTACACTGCAGTACCCATTGCTGAGACAAAATACCTGATGCCCAGAATTAAGGAAAGAAAAGTTTATTTATCTTACACTTTGTGGAAGTTCCAGTTTATAATCAGGTGGCTCCAAGGGAGAGTTGCATGTGGCAGAGGACAGCAATTCCTTGAGGCAGAAAATAGCAAATGCAGCAAGAGCAAAATGGGAGGAATGCAGAGCAAGCCTCTTTGCCTCCCTTACATTGTATGCAGGATACCCACACCAGGGCAGGTACAGCGTCCACACCCATAATCCCAACATTGGACCATGAATCAATCATAAACACTAGAAGTCCACTCCATGACTGCATAAGGCTTTGGGGGGAATGTCCAGATACAAACCATAACAAGTATATTATCTTCCATGAATTATATCAGATATTTCAGATATAGTATCATACAATTGGTGAGCAATTTATGTGTTTAAGCATAATTAAGTCTAGGGAAAACTACAATGTCCACTGCATTATGGGTAGTTAAAAATGAATTGCCAAGTATGTTTCCATGATACCATAAGTTTGTAACAATATACCCCATCAGATTTTGAGCAGTTTTTGTATTCAAGAACATTGTATAAAACATTTTAGATGAGACCAAGCACATTCAGGGTGGTATGGCCAGAAAATGTATAAAATACTTTATAAAATATTTCAATATTAAAAAGATATTTAAAAATACAGGTTATCCTGGTACCAAAAAAACGAAAAAAAAGAAAAAACAAAAAAAAAAATAAAAATATAGGCTAAAGGAGACCAACTGGCCCTCATGCACCCACCTTGCGTGTGTTTGAAGGCATCTGTCACTCAATCATTGTTGTTCTTATGAATAATGAAAAATGGTATTGTACAAATTTATCTCTAAAATTGGTAAAACACCACAATCTGAATTACAAGTTAGTAACTTCCACTTTTTACAAAACTGACTGACACTATCATCAGTTAAGGTTTCCTCCATGCCACTATTTCAGCTTATTAGGCAAACACAATGATGGCCAGACATGGTGGTGCATGCCTATAAACCCAGCAGCTTGCATGCTGAGGCAGGAGGATCACCATGAATATGAGGCCAGTCTGGACTGCATACTGAGTTCAGGACCAGCCTGAACTACACAGTGAGAATGTGTGTCAAATAATACTATTACTGAAAATATAATTGCATCACAGTATCAGGGGAAAAAAAGGCACTTGCCTCATTACATTCAATACAATGATTCTCTCAAAAACAAGACTGTTGACAAAAATAACTTTGAAAGTGTTGTTACTGATAATACCGTCATTTATAATTTCAGAGAGATTACTATAGGTCATGATATCCTTTTGGAGAGGAGTTATAGTCCTGCTGGTCTGTGGCAATCAGAAACTCACATCACTTTGGATTATTTTTGGTAGATATTTGTAATACATGGTGGAAAAATTACCACTACATTGAGCCATTGCAATATAAACAGGTAATGCACAATTTTGATTTTAACAAAGCAAAATTTTATATAAATGATAATATTTCCCTTACTATGAAAGAAAAATAGCCAAAATTATGTACATGATATACAATGTTGAGATATAAGTGAGTATCATGTCAGGACATGAGAAACACAACTTGCTAATTTATAAATCAACTTTCTCAAAAACACATGTTTACAAGTCTCTGAATAAATGTCTTAATATAAAATATGGCATCAAATTCAAACATATTGTGTTACACAGAATACAGAGTGCACACACCAAAAATTTAAAACAAATATAGAGGCAGAATCCAAACAATTAACAAAAAAGAGTTAACAAAATTAGTTTTTTATGGCTTACAACTTCTAATCGTAGAGATCAAACAAAACTGACACAGATACTAACTCTAATTGAAAGTGAAAAATACACTTTACCATGTTTAACTAAAAGACACTATGTATTAACCTCAAACACACAAGAAATTACCTAACTATGCCAACTCAGCATTTTTACATTGAATAGTGCAGAAAAATAATCCAGATACTTAAGTAACTAACTGAAAAACACATAATCTATGTGCTTTATGACATTTCTATCTGGGATTGTATTTTCTGGAAATTTTACAGAGAAATACTGACATTAAGCATTTTGTATTAATGATTCCTACAGGTCTCCACTACATGAGAAATTTTCACAGGATTATCAGAATAAGCCCATATATATATTTCTCTCCAGTGAGACTTCTTTCATACATTTCACAATACATGTGCGTGTCAAAAGCTTTCCCACATCTTTTACACAGTTTCCATCCATTGTGAGCTATGTCTTTGGCAAACACCATGAATGCTGAAAGTTTTTCCAAGGTGCTTTCATATATGGCATTAATGCCAATCACCAGCTGTGCTAAAAACTTTTCCACATTGCATGCACATATATATATATATATATATATATATATATATGGATATAGATATATGGCTTTCTCCTATGAGACTTCTTTCATGTGTTTAAACAGTACTTTTTATGGTTAAAGCTTTCTGATGTTGCTTACATACATAGGGATTTTCCCCAGTGTGAGTTCTTTCTTGGCATTTACAATAATCTTGTATAAAAGAGCTTTCCCATATTGCTTAGTTTCTGCCTAATGCATTTTTAAATGTAGTTCACCATAAGCTTTTGTATTAAAAACTTTCCCACATTGCTTATACACACAGGTTTACTATCTACTGTGAGTTCTTTCATGTTTCTGACAATCACCATGTTTGATGAAAGCTTTCCCACACTGCTTACATGCGTAGACTTTGTCCTGGGTGTGAATTCTTTCATGTATTTTCCAATAACTTTGTGTAGTAAAAGCTTTCCCACATTGCTTACATGCATAGGGTTTCTCCCCAGTGTGAATTCTTTCATGTATTTTACAATTTGCACTGTTATTGAAAGCTTTCCCACAATGTTTACATACATATGGTTTATCCTCACTGTGGGTTTTTTCATGTTTTTTATAATTACCTTTTGTACTAAAAGCTTTCCCACACTGCTTACATACATAGGGTTTCTCACCAGTATGAATGCTTTCATGTATTTTACACTGACTTTGTGTATTAAAAGATTTCCCACATTGCTTACATACATAGGGTTTCTCCCCAGTGTGAGTTCTTTCATGTACTCGACAATGACTATCTCTGCTAAAAGCCTTCCCACAATGCTTACATGCATACGGTTTTTCCCCAGTGTGAATTCTTTCATGTATTTTACAATGACTTTGTGTACTAAAAGCTTTCCCACATTGCTTACATACATAGGGTTTCTCTCCACTGTGAGTTCTTTCATGTATCTTACACTGACTTTGTGTAGTAAAAGCTTTCCCACAGTGCTTACATACATAGGGTTTCTCCCCAGTGTGAGTCCTTTCATGTAGTTTGTAATACTCACATTTACTGAAAGCTTTCCCACATTGCTTACATACATAGGGTTTCTCTGCACTATGTGTTCTTTCATGTGTTTTACAATTACCTTGTGTACTAAAAGCTTTCCCACATTGCTTACATACATAGGGTTTCTCCCCAGTGTGAAGGCTTTCATGTGTTTTACAATTTCTTTGTATACTAAAAGCTTTCCCACACTGTCTACATACATAGGGTTTCTCCCCAGTGTGAGTTCTTTCATGTATTTTATAACAACCCTGTGTACTAAAAGCTTTCCCACATTGGTTACATACATAGGGTTTCTCCCCTGTGTGATTTCTTTCATGTATTTTACAACAGCCTTGTGTACTAAAGGCTTTCCCACACTGCTTACATACATAGGGCTTCTCTCCAGTGTGAGTTCTTTCATGTATTCGACAATGATTATGTCTTCTAAAAGCCTTTCCACAGTGCTTACATGCATACGGTTTTTCACCAGTGTGAATTCTTTCATGTTTTTGACAATCACCACGTGTGCTAAAAGCTTTTCCACAATGCCTGCATATATAAGGTTTCTCTCCAGTGTGAATTCTTTCATGTTTTTTACAATGACTTTGTGTACTAAAAGCTTTCCCACATTGCTTACATACATATGGTTTCTCCCCAGTGTGAGTTCTTTGATGTGTCTTATGATCAGTATGTGTACTAAAAGCTTTCCCACATTGTTTACATACATAGGGTTTCTCCCCTGTGTGATTTCTTTCATGTATTTTACAACAACCTCGTGTACTAAAAGCTTTCCCACATTGCTTACATACATACGGTTTCTCCCCAGTGTGAGTTCTTTCATGTACTTGACACTGATAAGGTTTTCTAAAAGCCTTTCCACATCGCTTACATACATAAGGTTTTTCCCCAGTGTGAATGTTCTCATGCCTTTTACAATGACTTTGTGTACTAAAAGCTTTCCCACATTGCTTGCATACATAGGTTTTCCCTACAGTGTGTGCTCTTTCATGTTTTTGAAAATCATTATATGTGGCAAAAGATTTTCCACATTGCTTACATACACAGGGTTGATCCCCAGTGTGAATTCTTTCATGTATTTGATGATCACTATGTGTACTAAAACCTTTCCCACACTGTTTACATACATAGAGATTCTCCCCTGTGTGAATTTTTTCATGTGTTTTACAATGACCGTGTGTACTAAAAGCTTTCCCACACTGCTTACACACATAGGGATTCTCTCCATTGTGATTTCTTTCACAGACCTGAACATCACTGGGTGTGCTGGAGGCTCTCAAGTTTTCCTTACATAGAAAGGTCTTCTCCCTAAGGTGAGTTCTTTCACTAAGATCAGTGTAGGATTTCTCACAATGATCATATTCATAGGGTTCCACTCCAGTCTTTATCCGTGCATCCTTCTGAAAGGCGTGGAAGTCAGTGCAGGTTCTTCCACATTCATTACACTTAAATAGCTTCTCTTCTGACCCCAAATACTCAGATGTCTTCAGTCCACTGTGATCTATGGTGGGCATATTTCGTGGGTAGCCTTTCTCCAACTCTTCATTTCTGCAAACAAACAAATAAACCAGTCACAATAAAATGGGTCTCCATATTAATGGTTCATCACAAGATCTGGTTTGGTTCCTCCTAAGAAATTCTGACCATTCACTGCATGCCCCAGAGGATACCTCCAAACCTTTCCCAAGAGTGGTATTCACTTAGGAATTTTTAAATTGGTACATTTTGCAGTACAGAAGGCTTAGTTTTATTCTGGGCAATTGATATACGTGTGTTTCACATGTCGAGCATTTTGATCCCTTTTCCCCATCACCCTCCCCCTTCTCTCCTTACCCAGTTTGTCTTCCTCATCTCCAAGAAGTCAGGCTTTCCTTTTTTAATCGCTTCTCCTTTACTTTATTGCCTCATGCATATTTTTGGTTTCTCATATAAGAGAAAGCATGTGACCTTTCACATTCTGTGTCTGACTTATTTCACTTCACATTTAGGATGAAGGCCCAACCATTTGTTTTGGCAAATGACATGATTATCATTCATCTTTGTGGCTAATTAGATAGCACATTTTTTCTCTTTGTTTCAGTACTGGAGATTTAACACAGGTCTTAGTACTGAATTACATGTCCAGCTTTTTAAAATTTCTTATTTTCAGGGAGATTCTCATTGACGATTAAGTTGCTCAGGCTGACTTTCAACTCCACATCCTGCTGAATCAGCTTACCAGAGTACTGGGAATGTACCATCATGCCCAGCCTATCAAAATTGTTCTTTATCCATTCATCCAATGATGGACATCTAGGCTCACTCCACAGCTTAGCTGTCACAAACTGTCCTGCTTTGAGTATGCATATGCATGTATCAGTATACTATGATAATTTTAACTCTTTTGGGACTATACTCAGGAGAGGTATTCCTGGATCAAATGGAACTTCTATTTCCACTTTTTGAGATGTCTTCATACTGATTATCATAGTGGCAATATTTAACATTGCCCCCCAAAAGTTGGAGGATGTCGGGAAGAATTTTAAAACATGAATGGCCTCAAATGTCTGGAACATGACTTGAAAACACTTGTTATTACAACATTAGCATTCATTTGTACTTTGATGTTGCATTTTGGCGGGCGGGGCGGGGGTGTGTGTGTGCCAGGAATTGAACTCAGGACCTTCGCTTGCCAGGCAGGTGCTTGTGCTGCTAAGCTATATACCCACCCCTCATTTGTACTTTGAATACTGCTTCAAGGTCAGCAATTTTTTTACATAACAAAAGTCGGATATATAGATATAACAGATACATGTACACATAGACATCCTGAAAATGTGTTTCTGTCAAAACTCAAAATTTATATCTTTTCATATATACCTATACACAATACCTAAATGCAATTTCATACATTTTCAGGGTGTGATCATGAAAGTACATTTTATTTTCTTATATCTCAGATAGTGTCACTTGTTGCAGGACATCAATACTACATTTCCTGCACTGGAATATTTCTCTCTTCAGCTGTCACATTATACACACTAAAACTATATACATCTTTGAAGAATATTGTGAGATTAAATAAAGTTGAGCATGGCTACATTTCCCTGGGTGTGACATTTCTGTTCACACTGAACCTTGAGGAACATTTCTTTTCAGTGCAAATTACCTTAGATGACTCCAGGCATTTTTATACTCTCCTTGCCAGTTATCCCAGGCTCCTCCTGAATCACAGACATAGAAATATAAGGAGATTCTATATTATTACACAAACATCAACAGATTCCAGTTAGGTTCATGGTATAACATAAGCAGGCCTGAGATATTCTTCAAAATGTTTTTCAATTCTGCTTAATGAAACTACACTGCTGAGCAACAATGTTCTCTGACTGTATCAATGAGAAAGTACTATTACCTTACCTAGAGCAGCCATGTTCCTAAAAGTTTCCCTCATCACGTCTCTGTAGAGCTTCTTTTGGGATGGATTCAGCAAAGCCCACTCCTCCATGGTGAAGTCCACAGCCACATCCTCCAATGTCACTGTTTCCTAAATAATCACACACATGTTTCTTGAAGGAAGGTTGAGACTCATAGCCTGGGATCTTTCAACTCCTCTCATGAACATGGTGGTGCATGTCTGTAACCCCAGCACTCAGCAGGCTGAGGAAGGAGGACTGTCATGAGTTTGGGACTAGTGTGGGTTACACAGTGAGTTCAAGACCAGCCTGAAGTGCATAGTGAGACACTATCTCAAAAAACAGAAAACAAAACAAAGAAGCTGTATGGTTGCTGAATCCTTCAAATGTTGACTCTGTCTTGGTCATCAAATCCATGTGTATGCATATTTTTTCATAAAGCAATTCTGATGCTACAGTGCCATTCACTGCTAAAGCAACAGCAGAATAGGAGCGCTGGTTCTTCTACTGGGTCACTGTTAGGGTACTTGAGCACTGTCTCTAATGCAGAGCTCATAGACGGAGCCTACCAGATCACCATCCACAGAACACTGGGCCAGATGAATATCTAATGAATTGTTTGATAGACCAAAGGTAATATCTCTTTTCAAACCTTATTTTCTTATGGCATTGAGTCATTCTTTCTTTGATTGTACTTAGGCTGTTTTGAAACTTGAATTTATAAATATCAAATAAGGGTTATGAATAATTAACATGTTAATGGAAAAAGTTTCACTGGAAAAGGTCTATGAACATTTGAAATAGGGAAAGGGTGACACTTTGTCTTATACCTTAGCGTCACAAAATGGTCCCCTTGCACTCAGATATAAGAAATTCTAGGGGGATATGGGACAATAATGAGGAAAAAGAAATTAATAAAATATACACATTGAAAACCAATATATCACAAAGTAATTAGACACAAAAGCAAAACTTTAGCCAGGTGTGATGGTGCATGCCTGTAATCCCAGCACTTGGGAAGTCAATGAAGGAGTATTGTCAAGGAGTTCAAGGCCAGCCTTGGCTACACAGTACATTTAAGGTGGTTTGAAATACAAAGTGAGACTCTGCCTCAAACTACCCCCATGAAAAGACAGCTTCATAAATATGTCACTTAGGAAAGAGATTTTTGATTTGGTAAAAATTCGTATCTGTATACTATAGAAATCTAACAACACTCAATATACATTTTAACCAAAAAAGTTGACAGCTTATATACTATACATGAAAGAGAGTAAAATTCCACCTTTTATGAGCCTCTACTACTGTTATTAGAATGACAAATGGCTCCAAGAAAGGAAGGCAGTATTCAATGGGTCCACATAAATATACATATTGATTCATGATAGAGCTGATGTTATATGTCTCTGGAGGAAATCAAAATCTATTTCAGTTATGTTCAGGGAGAAACAGGTGTGTACTCCTCTATCGGGTTAAGAATATCCCTTAATTATTGTGGGCTGGTCAGGTTCGCAATCTCCTGAAAGAGTGTGCGGCAAAGGCTAAATAAAAAGAGGCAAGTGGAATGGTTTCAAGGCTCCAGGAGGATCAAGGCCCTCTCACAGACTTCAAGATTCTCTCAGGGGTATAACCATGACCTTCTCTGGATGTCCCATGTTTATTTACTTATCACAAGAAGGGAGGGGAGTACTTAAGAAGGGTGGAACCACTCAAGGACTTCTCCAAGTAAGGTCTTAATAACCCACCCAGGAGTGAAATGTCTGAGTTATAGTCTTTATCTAGGTGAGATCAGATGTAAGTGTCCTTGGCTGTGACTTCCTCTTATCCTTTGAGGTATTCCGGCTTCATCTCCCATTACAGGTTTTAGTAGGGATTAGTGACTCACAGAGGTTCACTTACTATGAGTCCGCTGCCCATCTCCAAACAAGGAGCCTAAGCCTTGGACAGACTCACAAGAAAACACAGAAAGTCAATCAGTTAATTGAAGTCCTGCTCACAGCTGCTTTGCAGTGGTCTCCACCACTCTTCTATGTACAATAACGAACTTACCTACTGGAATGGGAAAGATAAACTTGAATTCCTTGAGAATGCATAGTGAAATAAGTTTTAGATGTGAAGAAGTGTTTCCTCAAAGATCAACTAACCATCAGAATTAGAAGGACAAGAAATATACAAAAATCATGGGATATAAACAAGAAGAAAACATTTACTCTGTACACAGTTTAAAAATTTTGTAGAGGGAGGAAAGATCCATGAACACAAATCTCAAAAAAAGACTGCAACACATTTAACTGAAGATAAAATCCTAACCAAAAAATATGAACCAAGTCTTTTCTGAGAAAACCATTTAAAAATGCAAGTGTAGGGAAGAACACACTAAGTAAGTAGACTTATTCAAAACGGAGAATAAGTGGATATGCTCTACACTCACTTCCTTTACTTTGGAGTTTACAAAAATCTGCAGACCACTGACTTCTTTCCACTGCGGAGAAAACACGATGCTACTACTCATGGAGATAGATGGGATTCAAGTAAACTCGAAAACTTCTGAACCACATGCCCAATGGAATGGGTGAGAAAGCACTTTGCCCTGATTTACATGCAAGCACACTGGGCAATAGTGAAGGAGAAAAATAACAACAACAAAACATGAAAGTACTTATCGGCAATTTGTAGAACACTCACATACTGAAATTCCAAAGGAGGAAACAAGAAGAACACTGTTTATAGAAAATCACACATGGTAAGCTTAGGAAGACTGACCAAAGCGGGAGTGGTCTTCCATGGAGCAAGAGAAATGTGGGTCTCACCCACTGCCCCTGCAATTCTGTATAAAGCACAAATATCCTCCACAACTGTTTCCCTGGTGGGAGGTTTGCAAGTAGCCAATCCGAGCATGTTATTCACTTCTCCTTGCTGATGACTGGCTGCTGCCCTGTAAGCCATCTTCAGCAGATGCACCAGCATTCCCGGATCAGGACAGCGTGCTGTACTCAGTGTAGCTGTCTCCAGTGCTCTGTTTTGTTCTTCTTAAAGTGCTAAGATCCCTAAGATGCTGCCAAAATACCCCGCACCTCTAAAGCTTCAAATTACACAACTGCCGGACACAGCACATATTTAGGGTTCACACTATAAAAATAGGCATTTATAGGCATTCTTCTCACCAAATCTGAAATTCAGGCTTTCTCATAATACACGTTTGCTCTAGGAATGTAACCCTTGCAAATTTCTGGGGTACACTATATTTACATTGTCATTATTGTTAAATCTCACCAAGAATTTTGAAAATAAAATGCATTGCAAATATTTAAACACTAAGTTACTATTAAGAAAGTACAAATGTAATTTATATCAGCCTGGGCTTCATACTGAGTTTAAAGCCAGCCTGAACTGCAGAGTGAGACCCTCATCTCAAAACAACAACAACGAGGATGATGGCAACAACAACATTACTTTAACTTTTTCTTGCCTTGGTCAGATACAATCAATTTCCATTCCATCTTTAAGTAGGAAAATGATAATCTTATGGTTAAACCATGAAAATAAATTCATAAGTCCTAAACGTAACTAACATTTTACACAATCAGCTTGCTATAACAGAAGCAAAGGGAAGCTGGTTAGGGATGAAGCCTGCTTCCTTGCAGGTCACAAAAGAATCCACACTCAGAAGGTTGAACACACTCCTGAGGTGATACACAATACACTGTGCTCAAGCAGCCCACAGCAGCTCAATCACAAGTGGTGAGACAGGGAAGTATTAGAAGTCAGATAATTTAAATCTGAGGCCATCTTCACAGGGTGAAATTTCATGTTCTCAGTCTCAATTCTGAGCAGAGACAAGTACAAATACCCACAGCCGGTTGAAGGTTGACTTTTGCATTTTCTCAATTGTTCCTTTGGATTCTAGTGTGTATTGCCTGCTGAGCACTAAGCAATTCTCCAACAAAAACTCATGGGCCCCAAGTCAATGTACCATCCAGAGTGACCACAACTTCGACTAATTCAGAGTGCACCTCTAGTACACCACCTCAAGTGAAGATTGGTGCCCAAAGCATTTGATACTCTTTTGCATAATCCTGAAGTTATCAAGGCGTGGCATACTGAGTCACACCATTACCACAAATGAATGTAATGCCTCCAAGTGGCTTAAGATAAAAAGGATGGTTATTTCCACTGTTTGAAAAATTATGATAGTCTTAGGTTCTCTCCTCCATTAAAAAAACTATACTATACACACAATTAATCTCAAATGTACAGACTAAGGGAAGAAAGTTCCAAGGATGTCTTTCAGAATGGCACTCACACATTCACAATGGAAGAAAGTTACAACATTTGTGATAAAAATAAATAATTGATGACGTTTAATTCAACCAAGCACTGTAATCATGGTATATAGCGGTGCTTGATGATCCACATCTGTAATCTCATCATGCTGGGAGGCTCACGAAAGAGGATAAGAGCTTCAAGTTAGGGGTGGTAACACAATGTCGAACTTCAAAATGATGATAACACCGTAAAGGGCCTCGATGTTCGTCTGAGTCATGTTCCTGGGCAAACCTTTACCTCCACAAAGATACCCTGTAATCATTTCTATTTCTGTGTAATATCCTCCCCATGAACCCTAGGTAATATTGCCCAACCAATACCTAAGCTAACAACAGAGAGACAAAATTTGCACTTATGGCTCAAAAATGATTACATGCACTTAGCAGTAACGAAGGAATTATTTATATAACGTTATGTAGAGTTCTTTTTTTCTTCCAAGGCTAAACTTCTGAGCCACTTTCAAACTGAGCCAGCATACAGCCCATCCTTTAATTCACATTAAACATTTTCAGAAGAAAACCACTGGATCAGGAGCTGATTTTGCCACCCACCATGATCCCTTGCTTTCTCACATTGTATCTAGTCTACTTTGCTCCTCCCTGCACAAAACACCACTTTATTCCTTATTATTGACATGCTTGCAGACCTAAACCTGGGGCTTCCCCTCAGCTGCAATATTGCTTTTAGTCATTATGCACTCCTACCTCATTCAGCATTTAATTTGTTTCGAGACAGGGTCTCACTTTGTAGTTCAGAGTGGCTTTGAACTCACTATTAGGACAGGCTGAACTTGAACTCCCAATATTCCTCTAGCCTCAGCCCAGGTGCTACGATTATAGGCATGTGCCACCACACTTAGCTAGTATGTCATTTTAAAAATAATGTCTAGGCCAGGGATATAGCTCAGTGGCCTTAGCACCTGCCTGTCAAGTGCAAGGTCCTGAGTTCAGTCCCAGTACCAAAAAACAATAAAAATAAAAAAATAACGCCTATAAACTGGGCATGGTGGGGCATGCCTGTAATCCCAGGACTCAGGAGATTAAGGCAGAAGGATCACTGCAAGTGCCAGACCAGCATGGGCTACAAAGTGAGCTCATGGCCAGCCTGCACTGCAGAGTGAGACCCTGTCTCAAAAAGACAAAAAAAAAAAGGTCTTATAAAATACCCCAGAAGGATCAGTTATGTGAGATGGTGCTTCTAATATATATTTTCATCACTTACAAATCACCTGGGGATGCCCTACTTGCAGGAGAGACAAAGTTTGGGTTCAACAGTTAGCCCTTTCTGCAAATTGTTTTTGCAGCATTATGTTCATCTTTCCTCCTTTACATACATAACTTCCTGTCCAGTTTTTGCCATTCAAAATTACAAGAAACTTACACTTTACTTCTTTCTTTACTGTGCTGCTCTGGGTATGATATAGCTGTTGAAGCAGACTTGCCCACATCCCTAACACTGAGCCTCATCACTGGCAATGTGAAACGTATCTCCCAATTTTAATGACATTTGTAAAACCTCTATAGTAACTTTGGGACTGTGGAGAAATGTTTGGAAATTTTGGAACTTATATTCAGCACAATTAAATCCAGACTGTTTAAGACCTCATATCTAAACTTTTAACAAATTTAGTGTAATTAGATAGTTTAGGCACTTTGCTGTTACTAAGAAAAAATACCAAATGCCCACAGTTTGGAAGAGAAGTTTACACTGCCTCAACTGCAGGGATGGTCTGCTACAGCCAAGGGGGAAACACGATGGGAGAGTGGCACGGTGAAGGAAAAGGAACTCAAGCCATGCAGCCTGGAAGGAGGAAGGATGGGAGGAGCTGCACACAAGAACACACTCTTCCAGGCCTTGCCTCTAGTGACCCATCTCCAACAGGCCCGCAATCCTAACAGCACATCCAGATACGGAACTCACCCATGAATGACTTCACTGATGAGGACAGGCCCATGGGAACCAGTCCACTTTCAAAGTCAGGAGACACTCAGGAGTCCTTTCACATATGCAGCAAATACCTGGTCTGCTG